TGTCAATCAAAGCACGTCATCGAGAATGATCTGACAGCACTGACAATGTTCACAGGAAAACGGAAAATTTCAGTCTTCTTGTCATGTGAATGAAACAAGTTAGCCATCACATCTTTTTGTAAACACAGCCTAGGCCCACGTCGTTAAAATATCATCGCAATGATGACCTTTGGGATCAAGCAAGAAAAAGGGTTTATTTCGCATTTCACTCACCTGAAAACACCTACAGCTCTCAGCATTTTGGTGTCTAATTAATTGACAAAGCGATCATTATGTTTTCAATAAATCAGCAAATTTCATCATCTTGTGAAGAGTGAAAACCCCGAGGAAATTTCAACCAACATATCCGCCATATTTGAGAATGAAAGTGAAGCACGAAGAGCATAGTGGGAGTCCTGTCACCAGTCCACTGCGCGATTTTCGCCTGGAAGAAAATTTTGGACGTGACACTTCGCAGTTCTTTGCACTGCGAACCTGCTGTGTCGCAACGATGACTGGAGCAGAAGGCATTCCAGGTTTTGCAAGTTTTTAGGTTTTCTTGCGCCAATTTTAAAACCTCCACATGGATGCAAACACAAGAACTCCTCTTCTCAGAGATCGCGAGATGATTTATACGGTAGACGAAAGGGATGGAGAAGAAAGTAGTCGCGTTAGCACTGCGGACTCTCAATTGACAGCTCTCGCAGAAGAGCTCGGCATGAAAGCTGATGCTTTGAGCGGTGCAAGTTCAGAAAGAGACAAAGATGGTACCTCAAGCAGAAGGAGAAATGGACCCACTGAAGCAGTGGTTACGATCACTCGTGAACAACTTGAGGAACTGCAAACAGCGTTAGAAACAACAAGTGACTTGATAAGACAGGTTGGGATGAACTCTGTGGAATTCGACGCGTTAAATAGACGAAGAAGGTGATCAGTTGTTTTTTGTGCAATCCCGTGGGGTTTTACACGGTTTATATGCGGGCAATCGGGTGACAATTTCATCTCAAACTGTCTTTGTTTGTACATGTACGTGCCAAAGGGGAATTCTCGAGAAGTAAACAAAAACTTGACGATCGGACGTAAAGTTCTCGACAGGCTTAAGTTAAGCTTAGAAATTACATGAATTGCGCGCATATGAGCCAGAAACTGTTTAGCTAGAATCTTGACTGAAATTTTTCGTTGATCAGATACACCATTGTTGTACTAGCTGTAGTCATTAACATTTGAGTACACGATATTTTACTTTACAAGAGCGCCCAAGGGTCACTAGACTGTCATGAATAAATTATACTAGGGACCTACAGACTGGACTATGAGTACGACATTCAAACCAGTTTCATGCGCCCTAAGTGAACATTTGTGAGAGCAATTTTATCTCTTACATTTGTTGATATTCTGGTCGGTGGCTCGCTAGTCAGGACAAGTGTTTAAAGAACGAGAAAGGGACATAAGTACAAGACAAACATGAAGGCATATATTTTAGTATGTATTAAAGATTATAGGTATATATTTTAGTGGCTTTCGGTGGCTCTTTGGTTGGTTATATAGTTTCCATTCTGACGGGACTACCGAGCCACCACCCCCTGATAGAAATTGGTTGGCTTCCATTCTGACTACTTCCTCTCAAGTTTTGATTTTACCCACTCAAGGAAAAGTCTTTTCTTGGCTATGGTCTCTCTCTCTCCCCCTAGTTAGCATACATGTACCTTTTATCCTAATGCCACTGGATTGTGTTTAAAGGCATTACAAGATACCAAAGTGCATCACCAGGAATCTATTGCTCTTGACAGTCTTTTGGCAGGTGAGTATACTGTTCAAATCAATATCACACTCAAATGATAACATTGTGATGGTGGTTGTTGGTTATGATCTCTCGGTGGTGCCAGAATTACATTAAATTATGTGCACAACCTACATCCCATTGACTTTAATTGGAATGGCTCTATGGATTTGGTCTGGAATGACATACAGTGTAAATGAAGACCGATTTAACACTGGTACTCTGGAGCACTATTGTTGTAGTATGTGACTAGTGCTAAATACTATGTCATGTTTCATGTAGTTCTATAATGGCAGTCATGGGCTGCTGCTTGCTATCAACATTACTGACCTCTTCCAGAATACCTAGACATTGCCTTACAGCATGTACAGTATAACAAGAAACATATACTTATAATTGTAACTAGAATATAACAACTCTGTGTTCATTTACAGGCTGTAGAGACAAGAGTTATTTTTTTTCCTCTGCAGGTTCTAAACATTGCAGCTGTCAGTGTTGCCGAGGCGTTTGAAAGTCCGTCAAGTAAAGACAAACAAGATGAGAGAAGCATCTTCCTAGCAGTAAGGACATAAAAAAGATACACTTTTTATAAACTGAGAGTGAGGTCATTACAGGGAAATCTCAGACCCAGGCCTTGACGTACATTCATTGACCAAGCGATAGCAAGAGGTCATTCGAGGTCGTGTTCACTGAACCAAAACGAACCTAGGGATGCATTTGAAACCGCAACACATAGTTTCTTTGACAATGAGAAATTTGGGACCAGAGCCTGCAAGTAAAAACCAACTTAGTTAAACACAGATTGTGTATGCCTTGGACATCTCACTAGTAATGCCCCATTACAGAAACAATCCCATTGGAAAACATCGCCTGTGAAAAGTGGGGTACCCATTAGACTCTGCGAGTGTAAATGAGGTTTCAAAGGTTACCGCCGTTTTCGGCCTCTTATGAACTTTATAGCGACTAACTGTTCTCGCACTTTCAACAGACAATGCAGAAACAATAAGAGTAGGGTGCCATTGTTTTAAGTGTTAGAATGTCTTTGTCATCATTACAGAGAAGAAAACATCTATGCAACCAGAAGCATTTTCTTTCATGTGCACTAACATTAAATTCTGTGAAATACAGTAGTCTCATGCAAATCAACTCAATGGCAAAACTGGGGATTTCTTGATTGACACTCTTTCTTTGTCCTCTTGCACTCATTTGCATTTTCACAATCGATGCTTTTCAATGAGCATGACTTTCTGTAATGTGGTCATTACAAGAAAATCTTGCCCGTTTAGCAGCCAATCAGAGTGAGCATACTATAATAATAAGTAGCCATATAATAATAAACAATTATGGAGAGATCAAAAAACATTATTACAAATAATATTATGCGATCAGTTTCAAAACTGTGTTTAACCCATTCGCTCCTGGAGATTTTGCCGAAAAACGCATTTTGAAGCTAGTCGAGTGGTTTTCTGGTCACTGTAAAACTTACCACAAACCGGTTTACAGGTGGTCTTCTGATCCAGATACAAAATATCAAAATCGGGCTTGCAGAAAGCAAAATTTCGCTTTCTCTCCTCCCTTCTTTTTTAGCTTTTTTGCCCCAATCTGGGCATTTAGTGAGCATACTATAATTTTAGGAAAGCTTTTAGGATATAGGATTAATAAACAATTAGGTGGGAATGGAACAAAAACATTATTACAAATCAATGTCAATGGTTTTTGCTTCTTTCTCAGTTTTGAAAACTGAATGGTTTGAAAACTTTTTGTTAATTTTGAAAGTTGTCCTTGACCGTTAAAACTGATGGTCCAAAGGGTAGAAAGGACCTTGTCATTGTGGTGTTTCAGGCAATGGGTAAATTTGATTTTTGTTTTGTTTGCAATTGGTCAACAAGTTATTGTCATTGTGGTGTTTCAGGCATAAACTAATTTACAACAATTGAAGATGGCATAGACTAACAATATCATTACAATCATCATCAAGAGAAATAGGTAATGAAAATTAAGTGATCACCAAGATGAAAATGTATTGATCTTTTTTCAAATTCTTAACTATTTCGTCAAGGAATATACGGAGATCAGACTGAATAATAATGTCTGTGCATACTGGGGCTGAAAAGGTTAATGAGTTTGGATGCTCTTGGTCATACTCTGTACAATAACATGCTCATAATTTAGTAATCAGTTGATTTTTTCGAAAAAGTTCAACTGAAGATTGTGATGAATTTAAGCGGATAAACATCTCTTCAAAATACAATGTACTATGCCAGAAATTTTTTTTATTGATTATTAGATTATTAATTATAATCATAAATTATATAAATCATTGCTAACTATTCCAAAAAACTGCTTCTGGTAGTATGATCTGCTAAAGCTGAAAGAAAATCAAAAGCAAAAGCAGTTGGGTATGCACAATGATCCACTTAACAGTTGATCAAAAATAGTGTTGGCTGATGATAATCATTCCACAGTTTGGCCAATGAAGTTTTTGCTTTTTTTATTGCAGTTAAACTGACAAAGCAAATGATGCATCAAACCATAACCAAGTCATTTCTTGGGCAGTCATTTCTTTCCACAACACTACTGTATGCTGGTTTATACACGCTGGTCTACAAAATTGATGTAAGTACTTTGAAAACCCAGTACAGTCAAACCTACTGTGAGCAGTAGACATATTGGCTGCTTACAGGAGGTGGTTGCCTACAAGAACCAAACCACAGGAGGTCTTTCACAAGTAGAACTTATTGACAGTCTGCTCTTTGAAAGAGAATAAAAATTATATTTTATTGTATGCAGCTTCTAAGTTATGATGTTTGTAGTTTCATGTTCATGTTGCTGTTAATTTTTTATTTCAGTTAATTTGTGTTTTTCCTTTGTTAAAAATTCATTAGCATACATTACCATACCCAAAAACAAAAGACAAAAATTAACTGCAACATATAATAGTAATAATTATTATTCTGAGTAGTAGCATAGTATGTTAAGCAAACATAGAGATCACATAATGTGGCATCGCTTATAAGAGGTTAAAACAATGGAGAATTATAAAATTGTCATCCCAAAAAGTGGTCATAGTATGTTACAAGGTGAGTAAAAGAATCAGATATGAAACTTGGTACACTGATGTAACAATTGCTTTTACCAGAGGTTAAAACAATGGAGACAAAATCTGCGCAGCCCAAAATAAAATTTTATGGGAGGTTGTCATAAAAATGCCTTTTAATGCCCTTCCAAAGTAGAACAGTGTACAATCTGTACAATTTAGTAAAATTGCCAAAAAACTGAACATAGGCCAATTTTTTTCTCACCAAAAGGAAGCACTGTCCTTATTAAAATCATGAAATAAAAATGGGGGTCGCATTCGTTTTTTAAGGTAGAGCTGCAGAAAGTGGATGAACTGTGAAAGGGGGAAGAAATTAAAAATCCCGAGATATCACATTAAGGATACAATGTGATAAAGAAAGCGTTGAAGTGAATCAAAGTGAATAAGCACAAATTAAACATCCACTACGAGGTTCTGTGAGGAAGTCGCACTGCTTACGTTATTTTAGTCATCAACTTCATTTTAATTTTACAACATTTTTGGATGGCAAACATTACATGTATGCGTTTCAGTCATTTCTTTATTCTCACTTTGGATGGTCACAGTCTTCTGCAAAGAAAATCATTTTGTTCATTGGGGAAGCTTGGGGCAGCCCTAAAAACTTTTTGACACAGAAGAAGTTCTTCTGTCATTCTCAAAAAACATCATTGCCTCACTTAGCAAAATCCACTAGGGTGAAACATTTTGGTGGCACTCAGTTTGTTCTGGATAGAAAGTCAATTTTTTTACCCATAAGGTATAGGGCCTAGCTTAACAAAATGTTTGTATAAAATGAACAAAAAATATATACATATATCATTTCACTTATCCTAAGAGTACTCGATGCATAAAAATATGCAGAGCGAAATACAGGTGTACAAATGGAAAGAGTGAAGATTAAGTTGTAACTCGGAGTTTCACTCACTAAGCCATCATCAGACTTGAAGTTCTAAAAACAGGTTTCAGTTTTAAGGCAGAAATTTTAAAATTCAGTATTAAAGATAACATTTGATATGAAAATCTTGACACTATATCCCACAATTGGTTGTCTATTCTAGTATGGACTCCTTTGGAGGCCAGATAAAGCCTGGGCTAAGCCCAGATTGGTCTTCTTTAGGGATTTCTGTTCCTAATTTTCTGACTAGTATCCCCTCTTTTGTTTATCGGAGGTTGCGCTGAGCTCTATTCAGCCAACAATCATCTCTTTGTGCTCCCAGTCATTATCATTATTATTTAGGTCATTAATACGACTAGGTGTAACTGGGTTGGCAAATGTCTGGTGGTTTTGTTTGGTAGAACTTGTGTTCTTTGGTCTTGAAGTAGCTGTTTTTTCCTTTCGCTCTTAGAAAACTGCATTTGATAATGTATCAGGAGACAATGCTGCCCTAAAAACACCACTAATGTTTTTCAAAATGGTTTTCTTCTCCATTTCCACTGGGACACTATGTGGTAAGTTTACTTGAGGTAGTACCAGGTAGGCCAAGAGGGGTTGTTTCTACATGGCCTATTACAGTTTGGATATAACATGAAAAATTCTACTTTATTTAAGTGTGAATGCATTTTAGCACAGAAAGTCCTAAAAATTAAAGGACACTTTTTTCCCATGTCCAGGTTCAAAGGGGCCCACCATAGTCATCTGAACCATGCATGGGATCATTGTACGTTTTCTGGGAAACTGCCCACCTACCCCTCCCCAAAGCCAACAGCTTGCCCTAAGTGGGATCTCAGTTATAATGTTGACTTAGGGGAGGGGAGGGTGGTCAGAACCTACCACTCTTTGGGCCAGCGTGCCACTGACTTATCTAACCATTCCACTTGTAAGGGGTCATGTCTGTTATGTGATGTATTCTCTCCTGGACATGTTTTCCCAAACGTATGTAATGAAATTTATCTCATCTAATTTTAACTTTTTCAGCTTTAATAGTTGTTTCAGGTTATGTTCACACATCACACTTCACACTTACCAGACAACTTTTTGTGCTGACATGAAAGGACATCCAGCACAGTGCAAATGGTGACAGCACTGAACTGGAAACAAGTTGTTCACACACCTCAAACATCTTACCAAAGCACAGTGTTTGTACAGAGTCTTGAATTCTTGATAAAGTCTTGATAATTGCCCAGCTATTTTCCAGACATGGAAAAGGTATGGAAAATACAGATACCGTAAGTCTGGAATAATGGTAAAAAGTCTTGGAGTTTTTTTCTTTTCAAAGCTACAACGAGTGCTTTATTAGTGATGTTGGTCAAATCTTATTCAGTCTTGCCCATAGTTTTGCAGCGCATCATGAAAAAAGATTTGTTCTGGCATTTTTTAAGGTCTCTGTTGATCATGACCTATTTGATAACCTTGAATCTGGAAAAAGCAGGTTTTTGTTTTGAAAAAAAGTCTGGAAAAAGTCTTGAATTTTGGATCTAAAATCTGTATTAACCCACCAAATCATAATCCTCACTTCTGAATATTTACTTCCATCTTAAGTGGGTTTCAGTCCTTTCTCCTACTCATTTATGTTGGCTAAACGTTGTACAAAAAAAAAAACTGCAACAAGGAATGGCATAAACATATCTGATATGTGTGACCATATGCTGTATCCGATATGGTTTCATGTTGGCCCAAGAGCTATCCAGTACAGACTGAACATGGCCTTTATGTTATGTTAGAGTTTCCTGATGATCCTTCTGTAGTGCTCTTTACCTGTATGTCTAACTGTTGCTTGGTAAATATCCTGTAACAGACTCTAGTGTGTTTTGTATTTTTGGTTGTTGTAACCGAGAAGGTAATTAATTCTGACATCTATCTAACTGACCGTTTGCAGGACTCGCCTCTGTGGTTCCAGTTATGTGGCCTGCACAGCTTATTGCTTCAACACAGGTCTTGTGATTGTTTAACTTTGTATTACAACACTTACTGGAGAGCTAAAGTGTGAGGGGAGGGGATGGGAGGGAGGAATAAAATATTTTGATCCTTATTGTCTTCTGCCCCCCTCCCCCACCACACTCACCTTGCAGGCTCTCTTGATTTTTTAATTTAATTTTTAATTCTTATCTTAAAGGATAAAGTTTTGCAAAGGCCAAAAGTAGCTCACTCACCAAGACCTTGTAGCCACTCTCTTCTGCTAAGCTCAACGGGAATTGCATAGCGTGACACGCTTGGTTTTAGCATCAGAAAAATGCAATGAAACATTTTGCAATCAGCATGTAAAACTGGAGAAGTAATAGTTTATAAACCATCTGTGGTCTATCTTAGTTTATTTATTCGCTCGTCAGATTACTTTAATTCTTGCGCTATATATTTTTGAAAGCTTGATTTCCACCCCCCAACCTCGTTCAGAAAATGGGACCGCCCCTCCCATTTTCTAAGGTAAAACCCTCAGGATGAGGTTGTCTGCCACCCTCTTGGGTCAGGGGCCCATTTCTCGAAAGACCCCGAAAACTTTTCAGGCCCGAAGGCAAATTTTAGAATCAAAACCTGTTGAATATTAGCACAGTTCCTAGCCCACAAAGCAGTCCAAATTGTTTCGATAACTGATAGTTCCATTGTGTTATTTTCAAAATTATTGAAACTTGATCTTGAATGCAAACACAAAACAGTTTTCCGGGCCCGAAAAGTTACCGGGACATTGGAGGAACAGGCCCCAGGTCTTGTTAGCTCAGGCTCCCTGCCCAAACAGCGGCTGGTAATCAAGCCCGCCCCGGTCCTCCCTAATTTTTTTCTTGTTGTCTTTTTCAGATGTTATTGAGTTACGTGTACTTTGCATCTGTGCTGTATATGGCTGTCCAACCTCACAAGTCAGATTTAAAATGGAGAGTTATCAGTAGAAGTTCGAACGGTACGCAGGGAAATTACCGCAGCATAAATCCACAGAGAGTGGTCTGATAATTTAACCCCTAAGATTGGTCAGTAACCTTTTAAGGCCTAATATAAAAAATTGAATTCTCATTTGTTGCCCCTATTTATTTCCTACAGAAGTAGTGGGGAGAAGTTGATAAAATGTCAAGCAATTTCTTCTTGTGTGATCATGTGCCTAATTGTCATTACCACTCTGTTTTACAAAACAATGATATCACAAGGAGAAATTTGATGCTGATCACTCTTAGGGCGTAAAGGGTTGATGATTACATTTTTGAAACACCGGAAAACTGTTAGGACTATCGAAATGTATTCCTGAAGAGGTTATATTTGAATCTGAAATATTTGAATTTGAAAAGTTAAAAAGCCCGAACGACATTCAGGAATGGTACTTGTATTAGAAGAGATTTTTATAATATCTTACACATGTTACATCGTGTTCATTGCAACCTGGTTTCATTTAGTTTTTTTTTAGTGTCTGGGGTATGTTTGGCAACTTGTTGCCACACCACGTCTGTAAATCAAAGAACTTTTAAAAAAACAGGCATCAATGGTTACTTTTAAGTACTTTTAACTTTAGCTAAGGACTCTGTACACCTCTTCGGATCGGAATATCGTATCCCACGATTAATGGATTTTTAATCGTAAAAATAACTATTAAAGTGAAGTTGATTCAAAAAAGTTAGTGAGACGCAAGACCGTATATGTAATTGTTACAGGTCAAAATTAAATTAAGATTAAAATCTTTAAACCTACTTTGATACTCAATTTCCTTTGTCTCCTAGGCCAAGTTATTCATGAATTAGGGCTAGGAGATAAAATATTCAAAATTTTAACCTGAATTCAATTTTGACCTGTAACATATACAGTATAGGGAAACATGAAGAAAAAGTTAGAAAATCAAAATTTCATACACAGTTTTTTTATAGACTTTCACTGAAAATATCGCATAATGCAGTCATACATGTTCTTTTGATAGCTATATTATTTCAAATGATGTAATGATATCTTTATTTTCGAAGAGATTTTGGTAATATAAGAAGTGAAAAAATCGAAATAAAAAGAAAGCCCATTGACTCCATGTTATCTTAGTGATTTCTTTCTCCGAAAACGAATAAGAGATTCGGCCACAAGATTAGACAGCTGATTAGACTGCAAAACAGTCGCTTTTTTCTCAAAATCGGTTTAGCATAGCTGAAGTCTCACGTGCGCGAGAAAACGTCCCTCCCCAGTCTCGCTCTCCGTTTTCAGCCTCGCTCCAGACCTTTTTGTTTGACTGCTCGCGCTTTTAATTAGTACGCAATTGCAGTCTACCACAAGATAGGCCCCTTGTTCTTCTGATAAATCGTGAAGAGGAAGGTACTTTTCCTGACTTATCTTAGACTACAGGCGTACTATTCGAACGAACAAGACAGTCCGTTTTTTCTGTCTTAATTTTTAACGCAAATGCATCGTTCTCAAGGTTTTCCTTCAAGTCTACGGAAGCGAAGACGGGACGAATGTGAGGGGACCCTAAGAACGGGGAACGTTGAAGTTAGCCTGTGTCAAGAGACGTCTGTACACAAGCTAGCTCGTTTAGCTCGTTTAGTTCGGCCATGTCATAGCCTTGCATGGTAAACTGATCTTGGATCGATCGACGGACTTTACTACTGGACAGCGTCTCGCATCAATTCATTGTATTTATTTCCTATCGGCAGCGTTCGTGCAGACACTGTCGTAGTCTGCTACACAGCCGTTTTTAGTGTCGTCACGCAACGCTTCTCCCCACTGGAGCATTGCGTGACGACACTAAAAACGGCTGTGTAGCAGACTAACACTGTCGCTATACCGTCTAAAATACACGGTCTTCTTCTTGGGGCAATCGAAACGTAACTGCAGAATTTATTTGCGTTGTTACAGCGACAGAGAATCGGTGCCTACGATAAGAGTTAGCTCGCCCTGTCCGAGACGTTCCTCATGTTTGCTGTACACGTAATTGTTTTTAAGCACCGATCGGACACATAAGCAAACATGCCCGGGTTGCCGTCACTGGTTCAATCCTGGGTCAGTCTACTGAGGGACGGAGTGGGGGATTGGGAAGTGTACATCTTAGTTTTCAGTGTTCTGCGGAAGACAAGGACAAGGTGACTTTCTGCTGTATCGACATCCTTCTTCTTTCCCCCAAAACGTCTGATTTTCATAATTTGTTACACACTGTCAGAAAATACCACGCCTTTCGCACCCCTGCAACGTTTTGACTTTGACTGTAGCCTTTTACGCCCCATCGGCAGCGTGCTAGTCTGCTAGCGGACTCCTTCTCCTTGCTGCTGCTTGTTTTGAATTTTTCATAAAGCAATTTTGGCATAAATTATCGTTTCAACCTGACCAGACGGAGTGAAGAAATAATTGTATAATTTAGCTTTGCCCGAAGGCAAAGATTGGGCATCACTTTTTTTTTCAGGTGCCCATAACCCTAACAGAACAGACGGTCTTTTTCCATAATTCTGATTTAATCAACTTGCTGACTGGTTTGGTTTGTTCGTTGGCCCTCAGCATTCATACATTGTAACAGTCATGGAAGAACATTCTCTTGGTTTTGAATTATCATTTTTGGAATTACTCCAAAAAGTGAAAGAGTAATATAATGTATTTGTGTTTATTCTTCGATGGACGATAAAGGAACATACCATTATCTCGTTCAACTGGACTGCAAACAAGTTGACCACATGCCGTGATGAACTCTGAAACGGGGTCACGGAAGCTGTGCAGCTGTTCGTCGAGTTACACCTTACGTTCTATTATTAGATGAAGTATTAGATGGGCAAGTCAGCAAACTGTTGACTCCTCAAGGGTGGTACAGGATATTATGTGAATTTTAAAGAACCTGATTTCCCCAAAAGTCTGCGATGAAACACGCGTGTTTTGAATCGAAAGTATTTAGTTTACAGTACGTGCTAAAAAAAAGCACTGCCACTTTAATATTTCCCATACTTAAAAAATACTGTATAAACAATTGATTCGACCACATGCCGTGATTAAAACCGACCGAAAGCGAGTCCCGAAAACTCGCACATGTGCGCAAGATGTTCTGGTTGAATTGAGAAGAACATAGAAAGAACTGGTTTGTAAACAGTTTATGCAACGTTACTTGCGTATTTTACTGCGAAAAAACGAGGCTCATAGAACAAATTGAAAGCACTCTTACCTTAAGTTTTGTACAATATTAAATGTATCCTTACTTACATTGCTGTATAAACAATTTGACCACATGCTAAACGAGTCACGGAAGGTGAGCAGCTGCCCCACCGTTACCCCTTCCCTCCTCGCTTTACGCCAACCACCATCAAGCCCCCCAAGGAAGCTTGAAACGTCCGGCGACTTGCCTTTACTTATGGGAATTTAATGTATAATTTGATATATATTTCTATATTTCCATATTTTATACATTTCTTTTTTTTTATCTAATTTATTGTATTATATCTTCTCATAATTGCAAGGCCCAGTCCATTTTGAACACGATGTAATTAGTTTAAGTTAATTTTTTTTGATTGATATCTATATCTTTGTAAAATATTTTCGCGATTCGCTTATTTCTAAGCGCGACGATCTTATTAATCAACCAGACTTACTTACTAACCAGACTTACTTACAGTTCCTTCTTTTTAGCCTTCAGGGTAACGAGTATTGAGAGAGACGAGAGAGAGTTCGCAGACATTCGTGCCATATGGCTCGGTGGCGCTCGAACGAGTTTGCATGATTTGGAGTATATGTGGAACATTTAAAGTGCTTTAATCAATTTGCAATCACTTAGTGAATAGCTAGCTGCTCAACTTGGCGGTGGCACTTTATGCCATATTTACTGATGGAAGTAAGAAAAGTTAGCGTCGGTAACATGGGAAGGAATTGACCAGGTTTCGAATCATTGCTTTTGACATTTATTAACTTTTCCTTTTAAAATTTGCTTTTGCCAAATTTGCCGAGTGAATATACAACTTATCTATCTGAACTTTTCCCGCAGATTTTAAGGCGATGTTGCAAAAGCTTGAATTCTTTAAAATTCACATTTGTTTTGGGCAAAGAAACTTTGTCAGCAGCCCCCGGAGGGTGGGGGGGAGTGGGGGGACAGTGAAAGGAAGAAGAAGGGGCAGTAACTTCCTTGAGAGGTGGTCTGGTGGTTTCATAGCGATTACATAACAAAAAAATCAGTTTCTCATGCTGGCTCAATTACAGCACGGCTTCACTTGATTAAAACGTCGACTTAATATAATTCAATTGAATAAAATAAAGCAGTTGCCGAAAACACAGAAGAAATCAATTTAGCCAACTAATATAACGTGTAACGCGTAAAGCACGACGTTTGAAACAAGTGGTGGTCTTAAGGTGATGTTACGTGAGACGATTCGCAACGACGATTTTTAGCGCAACACAGGGTTGCAACATTGTTGCGACATTCTTTCGAATGGGGACAATATTGGTGTGTTGCGCTAAAAATCGTCGTTGCGAATCGTCTCGTGTAACATTTAAGTTGAATTAAATAAGATCAATTGGAGCTTGAGTTCTGCCGGCAGTGGTAAGCGGCCAGCCTGCCCTCTCAGGGATACACACAACGGAAATTTTATGAGAAAATAGGGCATGTGCCGAGCCAGCTAAGTAAAGCCATGCAAACTAACAAGCTGGGCATGCTCAGTCAAGGCACCTTCGCAAACCACTCACATCATCTGATCGATCACGTCATTGTCATCTTGCGCACGAATCATGTGTACTTTAATTGTCATTGAGACAAATGCTCAAGTTGTTCCCTCTTTAAATACTAGTATCAGATCGATGAAGTGTGGCACAATTAGCAATCTTTCCAATGTTCAAATAACTGTGATTATATTTGGTAATGATTTGTAAAGGCCGGAACATAACACTTACCAAAACAATCGCGATTTTCTTATATTGATTTCTGAGTGTACGAAGATCAAATAATAGATTTGAATTCGTTCTTTTATGCATCATTCCATTGATTTCATAATATTTGCGGCTCCATAGTCATCACTTCATTAATTCGTCTTCGCAAAAAAATAAACAGAGTGGTTACCGATATAATTGAACAGTTGCCAATGATCTTATCTTATTATTTAAATGAGACGAGATAATTAGAAGTCGCTTAGTTAAACGAGCCCCTCGAAGTCCACACCTTTTTAAAAATGCGATCCTTTCCTCATCAGCCGGGTCTTGTAAAGTTTACCCCGGTTGTCTTTAGGTGAAGTAGGATCTGTTTCTATTAGCAGGAATTTACTAGGAATTATTTCAATAGTAAGACCAAATCAGTCTTATAATCTAAATGGATAAACTCCTTTGTCAGAACGAAACAAAAGCTCTAGACAACATAGTTGGCGTTTATATGATAATTGTGAAATCACTCTCAGCATTGCGTGCATAATGACACTGTTCAACTAAAAAAATTCAGTCTTATTCATTGAAAGTTTAAAAGGTTTGTTTCAGCACGTCTGATACTATTTGAAGGATCTATTGTGATATTATATTCTGTTTCGAGCAATTGCAAACATGTCCTCCTTTTTGATTGGAGGGGTTTTAAGTTAACTATTGTTAAAGTAACTGGAGCCATTTTTCCCTGAGTGTAGTCATTAAGATAAATTGCATAATAGATGTTTCACACATTTTTTCTGTTGATTTGGGACTCAATTGATACTAGGGACGCCACTTTACAGTTCTTAATAATATTAAAAAGTAGAATCCTTCAAACCTCCAAGGAAAATGGGAAAACTTAGTTCAAAGTTTTGGATTTCAAAAAAAAATTTAATAGAGGGTTAACAGGGAGTTTGGTTAAGGAGTGGAGTTTAGTGTTGATTCGACTGAGCATCGACGGAGAGGTTCGAAAACTCGAGATTTTACTACATAACAGAAGGCGAAACAAAACCACGACTGACAAAAGAGCCGTAGGTGATCTAGTCAAACACAAAGAACAAAGTAGAATCGTGGAGCCAGACGATATAAACTCCAACAAAATTTGCCTCCAGCAACTGAGGTATCGTAATTTTCGTGTTGGTTGTTTGACTGGCACATGTCAGCTGCAAATTGTAAAGAAGAACAAAAGAGTTCTACTATGAAGTTTCTTTCTGGCCGACACTTTATACACCGGAAATCGTAAGAATACAATAGTGATTACAATATACAGTAACCCGGAAGAGAGATATTCAAGGACCTCTGCAGAACCCGATGCAAAGCTATTTGGAAGGCAAGAGCAAACATGGGCGACACACACTTCTACGAGAAAATTGATGCCGAAATGAAAACGTTTCCCTGGAACTACCCAGAACAGTACATGATATCTGAGTTTTTACCCAGTCCTGGAGCTGGTCCTACAAGCTTTACGGGGTAAGCTTTACCGTGCATATTCAATTTTTTGGGTTCTTATTAATTCGCGCAGAGTTCGGGGGTCTCTGTCTTATGAAGTTCTGCAAAGCTCAAAAAAACTTTTAAAGTTCCCAAGTTTGTATTTTCCGCAAAGTACCTACGAATAGTAATGAAAGAGACTGTCCAATTCTTTCTTTTCGGTGCTCATTTTTAGGGTTCGTCAAAAGACCACATTGATCACATCATATGTGAGACGAATATTTATTGTTGCTTCATTCAGCCTCTGCAGCTTTTGTCCCAAAAGTCTTCGGTTATCTGATCTGTGAAATTGTTTTCTTTCTGCTCCAGAGAGATCGATGGAAATATGAAGTTTGAAGTGACTGGTAAGTCTCTGTGAAAGTTATTTTTAGTTTTCGCCACTAAGCCAAAACCAAAACTTAATTTACTTTAATTCTGCCGCGATTTCAAGGGTCTGTAGGAGTTCAGAATTTTTAAGTAACGCGCATTACCAATGTATATCTTTTGTAAAAAAACATCTAAACAAACTTTCCAGGGTTGCAATTTTCGCCAAAAATAAGAAATAACCAATGACAAAGCTAGATACAACAGGCTGTCGAATGGGGTCTGCAGAGATTTGGATCTGTAACTTGAATAAAAGACTGGGAAAAGATTTTGTTTCAATTTGTATGCAGACACGAGTCCGATTTAATCAGATTGCCTTATCATCCGCAAATGTCGCGCGTTCTTTAACACACCGTCGTTATTTATGCTACTCTGAGTTCAGGGAATTGTTATGATCACCAGGACCGGAATAAAACATCTTAGCTATATTTACATAAATAGGGAAGTATAATTTTCAAAGGAAGAGCTGAGGCTATTAATACTATCGATGACTCTATAGCACAACTCAATGTTGTGCAAAGGAATTAATTGCTTAGCCACACAAAAACACGCGTCCAGCTAAAGCAATTCAGACAATGAACGAAATATATCAGAAGGCTTTTGTCTGTATGAAAACAAGTCCCTTGTGCGTGTCGCGTAGACAAAGTACCGAATGCACCCATCCGTAAGCAATTTTCAAGTCATTTTTATGTACACGTTTTGAGAATTTGAAAGCAATGGTGACAGGATATATCCTTTTTTTGACAACCATTGTTTTCTTTCTTTAATTTCTATATTTGGAACGAAAAGTTTCATTGTAAAACTAAGTAAGCGTATCATATTTGAAGGTGTTGTGCTTTTGAACTGCAGAAAAAAACAATCGGCTATCTATAGCGTGTGTATGGAGCATCCACATATGACGTTGAAGTGTTGTTCCGCAGTCAGCCGCGCCTTAACGTTTAGTTTTAATTGAATGATTCTATGAAAAGTATCAATTAATGTTTCAAAGAATTTACGGGGCGAGTGTTATCCAAAAGATCAGATAAAAAGAGACAGTCTGGTTATGCTTAAAAGGACTGACTATGTAATCAATTTGTTAGTTAACCTTGTTTCTAGTTACAGCGAATTGAAGACTCTTTTGGCGCGCCCTGCTCAGCTAATTATAAAGGCATTATAAAGGCATCTATATCCTTTCAAACCTATCACTCTTTTAATGTGATAAATGTGTGTAATTTTGGGCGTAACACATGAAAAATCACCAACGAATGACCCAAAGCTGAAAATGAAAACAGGATGATAGACTGACTGTTGATAATTACAGGGTATCATTAAAAACAATTTTTTTACAGGGTAAAAGTGATCCATGAGAATCTTTCAAGTCTCTTATGGGAAGTTCTTCAATTTAAGAATCTCGTCAGTCTTACAGACAGCGAAAGTTGTAAATAACCTCCGAAAGCATTAATTTTTGGTACCGTAAACTTAATTTATATAAAGGCAAGACACACGGCTTTATTCTTTTCAAAACAGCGATTAAAATGAACAGAGCCTTTTCTTCTGACATTAAGCACTTCCAGGAATGGCAAACTGCGCTTTCAACTGAATCATCGCGTGTTTTGGAATAAGTAGAGGTGTTTGATAGAGAAAATGCGGTAAAATAGAGAGCAGTAAGTTTTTTTGGACACATGAAATGAAACAAAGTGGCATTTGTTTCGTTTTGAGGAAGTCGGGCTTAGCCGCATGAAAAGTAGAAACCGCAATGTTTTTTGCGTGAGCCTCAGGTCTTGCGAGCCCTTATACGTGACATATAGTGCATCTTAAAAATGTTAAGTTTGATTTAGTTAAATGCCGTCTCTAAATTTTGTCATGAATTCTTCCCCTTTCGTTTTTTGGAAGTAAGATCAGCCATTTAGGGTATGAATCAAGTTCAGCTTGGATTTTTGGAAAGGCTGAAGAAACATATCGCAGTATAACTTCAATTTTTTCGCACTCTAAAAATTTTTGCGGTAACGATGTATTGTCTATAACTGAAGATTTAGAAGGGTATCATGCTTCATTAAAAGGGAATTCTGTTGTGCATTGGAATAAGCGCTTTACAATTGGCAGAAATAAAGCAGATGTCCACTGAAGGAACTGCTATTTATAAAATACGAAACGTTTTAAAGTAACCAGCATCAGTTAATAAAGACTTAAAGTAACGTCACCTGCAAAAGCCAACACAACAAATCTATCTCTTTACGTATTATTTATTTTCAGAACCTATGCAACCAGAGCAGTTTCACGAGGAGCAAATACACTTCTCTCCTGAACCGGTGATGTAGCCTTTTATATTATTCCTATAATATTTTCGGCTGTAATTTAGTCCGAAGAAGAAACAATTAAAATTTTCAGGGCGCTATTAAACTCCTTTCTCAACTTTCAAAGTGAGCACATTTTGTTACTTTCGCACGCAATGCAATCTATAATAAGGGACATAAGTCAATTTTTATTTTTTTTCGCCATCGCAACATTGCGCCAACATTTTGAAATTGGAGTATATATGCCACTGAAGGAAATGATTTTTGAGTGACCTTACAGGTCTAAACATCTCAACCTGACATGAATCTTAAAGTGCAAGGCGTTTAGATACAATATTCCAATCATTGTACACCATTAATCCATACATACAACTTTAAACCTCTTGCCATCTCCCTTGTATGTGGGATTCCCTTGACAGGTTTTTTGTAAGTGGGCATCAGCGTCTATGTGTACAATTAATCATAGCAAATGTCTTAATTTTATTGAAGAAAAAAACATGTCAAAATGTATAATTATCCGGAGGAAATTATCATTAGTTATTCACGAGTCTTACAGTTTGCAACCACTGGTCGACAGACGAGAAAAATATAAAAGTTAAAGTTCTCATTAATGGAAAAATAATACTCGATCAAGAAAATGCAATCACTTGTAAAGTTTAAAATCTTTAAATACAGATAAAGTAGCACACGTCTTTCGTTAACCCCAAACAACGTTCATGAATAGTGACCATAAGTTAACTCCATTTTTCAGCCAGAAAATTTGTTGCTTCCCACCGAAGACGACGGTTTCCCAGAATTCGTTGAGCCTCTAACACCAAACAGCGCCAGGTTCCCGCCACAAGCACTTATGAATTTATCACCTCCCCATGTTACGTCACCCAGCATGTAAGTAACCTAGGTAACGTGTACGTACATCACAGATGCCTGTAAGAAGATGAGTAACCCTGGATAATTGAGTGACATTCAGCAGTGGACATCTGCCATAAACTAACCGCAAATAGTACAATGCAACTTGGTACAAGAGGAGTAAGAGGGGGCAGATGGATTCCCCACCGCCTTGGGTTTTTGGTCATTTACTGAATATTTCGCAAAGATTAAACGGTTAAAAGAAACCTGTGCATTTAAGGCGTACTCCAAGATAATGTACGTATTACGGAATGGGACATAACCAGCAGGTGGTGACCTGGGGACCTGTGACGTCATTCTAAACTAGCCTTCTTGGCCACTATCTTAATGTTAACAAGCTTTATACAAAACAGCAGAGTCTTTTCATGATTGTGGTATGAACTTTTCCACATATAATTATAGTTAACGCATATTGAAACCAATGTTTGCTATTTAAGACAAAAGGCTCTGGCTACAAGTTTTTCTCGTAAATGTTGGCGAGAAACCTTTGGGCTTAACCCCCTCCACACCCCTTCCCCCTCCCAATCTTTTATGCGACATTGGGTTAAGGTCAGGCTCAGAACTTACACTAGACAAGTAAATAATTGAGTACGATGGTTTATTAAGTGACTCACAGTGACTCTCCTCTTTCCATAACCAGAAACGAGTTCAACGGTGATTACAATTTTAGAATGGTTCTTGAGACCCAGGTAATTTGTTATTAAAATCATTTACCTACTATGTTCACCAATGACTTCGCAATTTATGTTTAAAAATTGAGAAAAAAAATGATTTAGGGGGTGTAGAATTTTTAAGTTGGCTTTTTTTCTTTTCAACAGCCCAAGAAGGTGGCAAATCCAGACTGGATTGTAAGTATAAGCCAACTTGAAGTTTGCCTCTCATAAGTTGTGGCGATTTGCAAGTTTTCCTGAGCATGTTTTTGCATCAGCTGCATATTTCCTTAAGTTTGGATATATTTCCAATTGATTGGCATGTCTCTCCCCCTTTAGCTCTCGGTGTCCATAGGATATTTCCCTGCAAATTTTTAAAAATAGCGCTACTGATGTAGATTCAGTATGACAAGTAAAACAAACGAAATGCCTTCAATTAATTAACCTGTGACCACTTCTTTGACATTTTTTAAAACGTCAACTCTCCTGGTTTTTTACGTGAGGTAAGCAAGCAGCTTGTACCAACATAAGGAGAAAGAAATAAAACAATGGGTCATTTCCGAGTTCCAAAAATCTCACTTTCAACACGAGGCCAAGTGCAAAACCTTTCTTGTGAAAATGAGTTTTACTTGCTTGAGAATAGAATATCATTTTCAGGTCAGTAGCTTCACACTTAGCCTCGCTTTGAAACAGAGGCTTAGCGCAGCTCGGAAAAGGCCTATTTACAAGTCAGGCTGACAAGTTCCAACACAGAGGAACGCGCAATTAAACCGCCAGGATGCCACGAAATTTAGTTGGCTGCAAGCGTCAAAGAACCACTGATAATCAGCAACATTCACACGGGAAAGTAAAAATGAAAGATCAAAAAGCGAACTAAGGGCGGGAAAACATGAAGCCGTTGTTTTGTCTGTAGGATCGTGCAAATTTACTAATTTACATGGCGACTTGTATTTGCAGTACTCCGTCACACAGAAAAAGCTTTACATCAAGTCAAAGACACCTTGCCCGATCAGATTTTTAACCACTGGTCAGTATCTTTTCGTTGTTGTGCATGTCTTATTTTGTATTTCTTCTCTCTGTTTGTGCATGTTTCAGTCATCTTTGATTCGTGGGGAGCATAAGATAGCGAAAGTCCTCCTATTGAAGATGGTTTCGACTTCCACGCATTTTCTAAAGTTTGGGCCATTACTTCTCAGTTAAACCGGCTGGGCCATTATTTTTAATGAAACGACTGCTTTGATTTTTCATATTTGCTTTGATTTAATCCCAGGTCCCCCTCCTTCTGGAGCGTTCATCCGGGCAATGCCCGTGTTCAGGCAGCCGGAGCACGCGAAAGATGTTGTGCGCTGTTGTCGTAATCATACTGAAGAATACTCAGGTAAAAATATTGAAAAAAACTCTTAAGAGCACACCACTACTTAAAACTCAAAATAAAAGATACAATATTTCTAGCCTGAGAAAACTGCTGACATGGTGCGACGCTACCACTGGCTTCACCGAAAAATGACTTCTGAGGAGTGGATTCAGAGCCTGGAACAACAAACTGACTACGCTTTACTAAACTCTTCTGCTTGCCTTGGATTAAAAGTCTCCATTAGCCGATTTCGTTGACATTACTATTTGGATGATATAATTCTATAGTGGTAATAAAAATTGCAAAGCTTTTTATTGTTTCAACGACGGCTGGCTTAAATGATTGACTGTAAAATTTTTAAATAGGCTCCCCAGCTACTGGTCATTTCCTCCGCTGTGACAATCAAGAGGCCTTTTACGAGGAATGTCCCCAAACCACCAGGCACTCTGTGAGGATACCGCTGCGAGCACCACCCACAGGTGAGCCTTCGAGCCTGCCTTCGAATCGCCACATGGGACGTGTTTACAAAAGGATTTTTAGATGAAATTTCCTCGGAAATGCGCCAAGAAATAGAAGAGTGAGCTCATTTTGCTGGTTATAAGAAAGTGTGCTTATCCCCGTAACATTCAAATTCACTAAAACGCATCAACTACGGAGAATTTTACAGGATCTGTTGAAATTCAGGCCTTCTCGCTTTTGTGGGCCAGAGCTACAACCCCGGACAAAATTGTTGAGACAATTCCATCTATTTTCTAACTTTTGCGCCCTACTCCCGTCTCCCTTAAACACAAAAAGTAAACCCCCTCCCCACCCCCTATTCAAAGTTGTCTTGGTCTAAAAACCAACATGTTTTATTGCCAGGCTATCCTATTCCTAAACAACTTTGGATAAGGGGAGGGGGGAAATCGGACATTCATTTGGCGGAGGTTTCAGTTTTTGCCGGGATGACAGGAAAAAATAGGCATTTTTGCGATTTGTCTCAACAGGTTTTGTCCGGGGTTGTAGTTTAAGGATAGTGTAGATGGGGACAGTGTTTCTGTTTTCTGACATGTGTGAGACTTTCAATGGATGTAAATCTTAGCTATGGAAGACCCAAATAATCAAAGGTGGGGTAATGTATTATTACTATACGTGCCATCTACTACGATAGCTGCAAAAACGTTTACCCACATTGCAAAGGTGCTAACATTTACATGACAAATCAATATTTCTCTTATTACGCATTCATTTCGTCGTCATTTTACAAACAACCAAGTTATTATAAAAGCAGCTTACTTTTCTCAGTCAACTACTGATTTGGCAATACTTCAATCTTTCTCTTTCTTTTCTTTGTTCATAAACAGCTGAAGCAAATGAGGAACTTGGAGTCCATGAGCTGTTTTACTTCATCTGTAACAATTCATGCGGTGGACTTAACAGACGACCCATTCAAATCATCTTTACACTGGAAAATCTGTAAGTATATGGTCACTGTAGTGTTTGAAATGCTTACTGCTCTTTCCTGACATCTTTCTCTCGACCTTGTCTTGTTCTTTTACTCTCAAATCTCACCATAGGTACCCTTATTTAAATGTTAATGTTACCGCAACACAGCATTCCAAATTGTTGCAAGATTGTTTCGAATGGTTGCAACATTATCCCAACATTGCATCGCTGTGTTGTGTTAAAAATCAACGTTGTGAATCGTCCCGTGTAACATTACCTTTACGAAAAAATGCTTTGATCTCTCGTTACCAGGTCGGGGAGCGCAGTATTGGGAAGGTGCTACGTAAATGTCCGGGTGTGCGCATGCCCTGGCCGGGACTCAAAACAGGAACTGGAAGCTATTAGTCGTCCAGGCAAAAAGAGAAAGAATAAAGGAAGTGAGTTTATATGTTACCATGGAAAACACGTTCGAGGACCTTTCCTCATCTTGTTCCATAACGGAAGGGGTAGATGACAAGGGGCAGTAGTTGATTATAAGACAATTTGAATATGATAAAATTTATACTTGGCCCCAAGGCGCGAGGGAATAAAACAAGAGAAATAACCCCAAGGTTCAGGATGAATAAACCAATTTTTGTCTTTTTTGCCTCCGACACTAGGAGCCAATTATGAATTTTAACATATCGAAATTGGTCTTAAGTGATAAGTAAGCCATTTACTTGTGCGTTGCATATTTATTGGTTCCTTACTCTTATCTTTTCACTCCCTTTGAGACAGCCAGAAATTTTCTATGATTAAATACTTACTTTAAGCCATCTTTTGTTTATAAATTCACTCGCTTATTTTAGTTTCCCAATGAATATAGCACATTAAAAGATTGCCCATTTCTCTTTTGACAACAATCAATGCAACTTTTAATAGTCATCACCTGTAATCTGAAAATCATGGTAAAGATTTAAAAATAGAATTTGACTTATACCATTCAAAAAGAGAACGAATAGGAGAATTCCACTGCCTCAAACCACAGCCCATATTTTCTACGATGGCGCAAACCCTTTGAATTTCCAGTCGTAATTTCCAATTCCCCATTCTTAACGGTAATTACCGCTGCTGACTTTGGTACAATAATGTTAAAAACAGATAGCGTTAGAATGAACAAATTTTAGGCCCAAGTTAAATTCAACTTGAAAGAAGGGGGAGAAAGGGCAGGCTCAAACGTAGAACTTAACATGAGTCGATTCTAAAGTCTAGGGAATTGGTTACAAAGGATGACTAATTTTTGTACTTCATTTTGAAAGCGTTCAGTACGGTTCTTTAAAAATAGATAGTGTTAGAATGAACGAAATGATTTAGGCCCAATTTTTAAATTTAAGACTAAAAGAAAGGCTAACCAAGATCTGCGTCTAAATCAGGCGAGGAACTTTTATTGACAACATGAAACCAGCCGAAATGAAGTAAAATGTCGTAGGTAAAGCAGAATGGCGCGAATAACAAAAATAAAAGAGTGCTTCTAAAATTACTTGTAAAATTAGAATCAAGTTTGACTCACTCATGAAAAGTTCAGCGTCTGACGTTGGCCAAATTTGTTGTTTAGATGATCAAGGCCTGGCTGGTATTGCAGGTGTTCATGACTTACAGTGCTTTGGTCCAAAGATGACAAAAGAGGACAGTACAGTGTATAATCTGAAGGTATGCATTCATGTTAAGCCATGCTTGCTACGCAGTGGTCACACTAGGGAGCTTAAGCCAAACCCAGTTTACACGGGTCCGGACAATTTTTTTAGGGTGTCCGTTCTAGGGAAGGGTTCATTAAAGAGCTTTCGATTCTAAGACAAGTGCTGGCGCGTGAGGCGGCGTCATTTTGGCGGGAAAACGTGGTAGCCGTCGTCATTCTACTACGAGTTTTAGCGCGAGTGTCGTAGTGGCGGGAACAAGTTATCAAATGTTTGAAGTTTTAGCATTTTGTAATCGGGAGAGGGCTCACCCTCCTTCAATAACGATAACAGTGCTAACTTTCCTGGTGAAAAAAGTGCAATGAAGAATTCCGTGGTGTCTATTTTTTGACAATACGCGATAAAACTGGTAGTCGTTCTCGTGATCGAATCTGAAGGTCCCTATTACTACAGCGTTGACAGCATGATTTGTTTTGACAGATTTGTGGATTCAACAATTACCTGATGTTAAAGAGGATAGCCATTGCACTGGAGCTGTTTACAAACATGGAAAACAAATTGTAAGTTTCTTTTCAGAGAAATATTATAAATTCCAATTTAATGATGGCTTGTGTACCAATTCCGTATTGTTTGATTAACATAGCACTGCTATGGAGCCACAAGACCTGGAGATGCCAGACTTCACCGAATATAATCCAGAGGTAAGTACTCTTTTGACAGTCTGAATATCGGGACACCTCGATAATACGAAACACTTAATTTTTTGGCTCTGTAACACGAAACAGTTAAATTTTAGGCATTTTAACACTAACAGTAAAAAATTTACAGTAAATTTTTTTCTGGAGAACAAGGAGTTCACAACCCATTTCCAGCAAACTACGATTATGTCATAAGATTTCCGAAGACAGCCGAAGATTCCGAATACTACCGAAGATTTCTGAAGATTTCCAAGGAGTTAAATCCGAAAAATTTTGACCTTATTCCGCCGTTATATTCATATGATCAAAAGTGACCCTGCTTCTATGCCTTTCGAAAGCAGAATCCCACCTCGCTTCTGTAAAGGCTGAATAGAACTTCAAGAACACCGGAGGGAAATCCTGTCGACTTCGCCCTCGACGCTGGCCAAAGGATCGCGCTTTAATTCGGGAGTTTATAAGTCTTATAACATCTAGTGGCGTTTTTTGTTATAGATTTACAGAGAGAATGCATGATAAACTATAGACAATGCATCACCTTTCGAAACAACAGTTTTAGAGAAAAAGTGGTTTGCTACGTATATCTGGCATATGATTAGATTTCAATTTCCTTCACTGGAAGAAGTTTCATTGAGCAGCATTTCGTAAAGCATGTGTCTTGGATCGTTCCGTAGGCGATTTTGGCCAAAGTGTCCTGATGACCCTGAAAGGCCTTTGCCTGTCGCATTAAAAGAACATTTACGAGTATTGCTACACTGGTGTGCGTCTATTGCGGGTCTTCCTTGTTCTCCCCCATCCCACCGCAATATTACAAGTGCCGGTACATTGCTTCTTTGCACGTTGATGGAGTCCCCAGCGACGAGGTTGAAGGTTATCCTGGGTAAAGGAAGCGACAAAAAATTACGCAACTTGCGTCTCATACAAAAACCTGGAGCGGAAAGCCGCATGGTACAGCTTTATGCCACTGCATAACACCCAGTGAATGTAGCAGAATAGTTAGAGGAACAAATTTTGCCAAAACAGCAAAACTTCCATGATCATTGCAATTTTTATTTTATTTATTGTTTTTTGACATTTTTTCCATCTTAGGAACAAGACCCGTCTGAGCCTGACTCAACCATCATCAAGTAAGAATTCCGTTTTTTTACAATAAATGATGAACTGTTCTTTTCATTTTCTTTTTCTTCTTCTTTTTTTTTTTCATGTAATCATCACCATATTAGAGTGACGGGTAAATGGAAAGCGGACCTAAACGACTTAGAATGATTTGTGAGAAATCAGCAAACTATAATCTAATCGGAACCCGCTGAACCTCTGATAAACAGATAATAACTGTAGCCTTTGAATCGGGTAGTCATGCCCGCCAGGAGGGCGAAAATGGACTCATCAATTCCCGTTTTTCTCAGGCACCTGCCTTGAGCAGAGGTGCTTGTTAATGCTTCCAAGTTATGTGATTGCTTAGTGCATATCCTTTGCCGGTTGCAGGTCACTGACCTGTGATTCACCACCTCCAAGCATTACCAGCCAGGAATCTTTAGCAGTGCCATCACAGCCGGCAGACACCTGGTACCAAGCTATTCCACAAGACCAAGCAGGCGAAGTCACTCAGGCCCCTGAGTATCCAGAATGCTTCACGACCTACCGGCGAATCACGCATTTTGTAGAGTACTTCGACGTTGCTGAAGTTTCTAGTAGATTTGAGGTCAATTGACTTTTTTTAATTACGCTAAACACCCCACACCATAAACATTGTATCATATATCTAGCACAAAATGAAGTACACAAAGGCCGTCTACTACTAAGGGTTATAAACTAAGGATTTACGATATCAAATAAAACATTAGCACAAATAGATACACGATATCGCCGCCCGAGTAAGTTCGTCTAGTTTAAATTAAACAATCTCAAAAATCACGCTCGAGACTGATATTTAAATTCAGAAACGAACTTGCACAGGATAGAGCGGTTTTCACTTGGCTGTCGAAAGTAATTGAGGAATTGGTTTGGTTTTGGTTTTACTATGCCCTTTGGTTGTGGCTAGTGTATTTACTTTGGTTTTGGTTTTACGACAGTCAAGTGAAAACCGCTCTAACAAATAGTTATGATAGTCATACTTTGGAAGTTATCCACTTTCTTTAAGGAATATACAAAGAAACGCAAACTGAGCTCAAAACCTTTCTAGGCTTGTTTGAACCCTTTAAACCTCGTAATACCCGAGATCTTAAACGATTCTTTTGGCTCGAAGTACCTACAGTGATCTGAAGGACAAGGAGGTTATCAACGTTAGTGATATCAAAGGTTTACTCCAAGAACAGCATTTCACATGTACATGTACTGTTTTTGTATATCTGTTAGAACAAAAGACCAGTGAAGCGGAGAGAAGAACCTGCAGCTAGAGCCTTTTCTGCGCACACATTTAATTTACCTAGGGTAAAACTTCATCTGTTAAGTTAAACTCGTAATGTCTTAAATAACCGGTTGACTCTGAGACCATAAACGGAAGGTACTGAATCAACATTCTGTGCTCCGATAAACTACCTAACCAAAGTAAACTAATTTTTGAGCTGGTTGGTGGAAACTACAATAAAGTCAAGTCTATCCAATACTTGGATATATCTGAGAGAGCCGGATCTTGACTGAGATAAGTACTTTTTGCAACAGAAAATAACGATATCAGGTCACAAGATACAGCTGAATATCATAAATCGTTAATAACTAAACTATGTATTTGCTTACTTCAAATGCATTTTTATATTGTAGCTAGGAACAACGTATTGGTGTTTACTTACAATACTAAAATATAATTTTATAAAATAATAATAAAAAGAACCATTTGTCGTTTTCTTTGACTCTTTTCGATGTTCGCAACATGTTCCAAGCTGGCCATAACAACACAACAAGCCCACGCTTTCTTTTTGTAAAAGGCAACCAAACAAAAACAACTCTAATTCCGGCATTGCCTGACCAAAGATGAGGGAAGGGTGGTCAATGTTGGGCAAAATTAGTCAGTTTTACACTAAGGAAAGTACATGTATCAAAATAACAACATTCGAACCTTCAGGTGCGAACACCTATCCAAAACACCGAAATTTTCCCACTGAAATCATTAAAGGTGGAGCCTCTAGCTCGTAAAAGACCTTTTCTTGTAAGTGACCGGCTTTGAATTTTCCATTGCTTTTTTTGCCTCCTGTAAGCGACCACTCAAGGCATGGTTTGATCAGTCCGTGTTCGGTGACGGTACTAACCAATACTTACAGAAATACGCCAATGCACTTTTAGCGACAACTTAAAACTACACATATCGTAACTTAGAGATTATATGCAGCGATTTATCTTCCAACATGTAGATTGTACAGACCTCTTCTAGAAAGGGAATCCCTGTGGTTCAGTTCTCGTAAGTGACCTCGTCCCGTAAGCGACCACTAAACCTTTGCATTTTGGGTGTTGCTTACGGGAAGTTTGACTGTCCTTAAAATTACACAAGAACACACTCGGGGCTCGTAGTGCAAGATTCGAATAGTTTTTACCCGTTAGTTTTCGGGTAACGATACACTTGTCACTCACAGAAAAAAACACAATGTCCTTGTGCAGCGGACGGTCCACAACGACCTCCGGTTGTTGGCCATCGACTGGACGAGGGTAACACTGAGAGTAAGCTGTGAGGCAGCTTCCGGGAAAGAGATTGATGTCATGGCAAGATGCCATTAAGACATCCGTTAGAGCCAAGTCCTAGAAGTATAGTACGCATGCTTGCTTCGACTCTCGAATGACTGACAGGTTTCTTCACTACAGTGATCATGTATTGAGCTCAAGAAGTAAGATCAAGCGTAAACTTATCAGCCTAGGTCGTTCCCAGTTAACGTTTTGGTTGTGAACATGAAATAAGCACTTCACAAAAAATACCAGGCCATGCCACACTATCGAGTGTCGTTTTGAATAGCAAATTGGTCACAAGGACTGGACCAACATCAAACCATCCTTATTGAAAACCTTTACATCAACTCTGTCTACGAGCATTTTATTACGTAAACATCGTCCATCCAACGTCAAATAATTCAAAACATATCCAAACCCAGCCGCAGAAATTAGATAGTTTGCATGTTCGGAAATATTCCTCAAGCGGTACTCGCCATTTACCACACCTAATAACAAGGGCTTTTCTAATATATAATCATCCCGTGTACAGATTTCTTTCAGATATATCAAGGTAGTAAAATGAGAAAAACCTGAGAAGATATCGACATAAATAAATACCACAAAACCGCAAAACTAACAAAAAATAGACTAAAACATTATTCTCTCCGCCAGTGACAGGTCATTGGCTAAAATTTTTCGAGTAAACGTTTTCAACTTCCGGTGATTCCAAAAGCCAATCAGTTCCCGTGATATCCCTCTAACAGTTAATCAGCTGCTGCGACCACTTAGTCCCAGCACATGGCCTGACACGTTTACGAGGCTTTTTATTAGAGACGTTGAGGGTTTTTCGGCATTTCCCGCGAATCGCGAACGTCAAGAAATCATGTGACCAGGGCCTTGCCGTAGGGTTTCCGGTTTGAAGTTCACCTTTGTACCAGGGCGTAAGGCGTAGGGCGTTGAAACGAGCGGGGTCGAGCGATCTAGCTGTGATGCAAGGGTCTGGGTACTACCAAAGAGACAAAACAAGATGGCGGACAATATACTGGACCGTCAGAGAGACTATCCAGCGAACGCTGGCCATTTTCCCGCAAGCAATAGCGAAGGAACAAATTATTTTTCTCACTTTCGTTTTTTGTTTTGTTTAATTTTCTTCCCCCGAAAACAAATATCTGTATTGAATATATTTTCCACCTCCGTGACTTGTAAATTTCTTCACTAGGTAAGAAAATGGCATCACAACCCAGATGATAGCACTGACATTATTTTTAAACTAATATTATCGGTTCTCCCCTTCAGTTTAATATCAAGTTGTGCAATTCATTATCAGCTATTGCAGTTATTTTTGGCTGCCCAGTTTCAAGGAATTCTTCAAGGCCAGATGATCTGTTTTCACTATTAAAGTCTGGATTTGTTGGTGTACATTGGTATTCTTCTGCTCAACACCTTTTTTTTATTGAGCTATCTTCAATATTAAGCATTACAGTTGGACAGTTTGTGAAAACTAAATTCCGGATAAATTCAAAATAATATACACGTACAATATTATCATTATTTTTTTTTTCTTGCACACTAATACTACTGTGCAATGAAGAATAAGTATGTGAAAAAAATAAAATTCACTGCCCTTAAAAAACTAAACAAAGAGGTTGCAAGAACACATGTACAAATAACCAGCCCAGCAAATATTTTTGCTTGATAATAATAGCTTTTGGAATGAAATGGTGACTGAAAACTACCCATGCAAAACAGACTAAGGAACTTAAAAGAAACTAAACATTCACTAGTCTTGCATTGAAACCAGACTTTGCTAGCAGGTAAATCTTACAGATACAACATAAAACATGGACAACATACAAATTCAAAAGTATATATTGCAAACAAGAAATACAGAATTATGCACAAATGAAATAGAAATTATCTTTAGCAGCTATTAAACCATTGAAAAACAAACTTGTTATTGTGACCAGTAACCCTAGCATACTTGTATAATTCATGTCCAGTCATGATTCAATTTTATTCTTGGTTAAATCCAGGCATGTTAGTCACATTTTGACAATATGTAGGGGGGAAATTAGGATTTTTTTTCCCCAAAAAGTAGGGATTTTTAGGGAAAAATGGTGAAAATTAGGGCTTTTTGGGGCATTTTTCAGTGATGTTTCTCACCTTTTTCCCATCCAAACACAACCATACTGACTAAATTAATCAAAGTATTTAATGAGAGGATGGCCATAGTTAGAATATTGTCTTGAAAATGCTTTACATAGATCAGACATCAATAATATTTGAAGAAGTGGTACCATAAACTTAAAACTGACTGTCACCTGAACCCAAACATATTTATTCAATATTAGTACAGGTTCTACAGCAGTAGGCTGATCAGTACATGTATATTTATACAATGGTACTGATTCTCAGGACATCTGCCCTAGTTGAAGTCATTATTAACTAAGGATCAAGCCTAATCATATGTGAGTGTGCAACAACAAAGCAATATCAATTGTGAACTTTTAAAAAGCGTAAAGATTCTGACCATCCAGAATAACTATGATCAAATACTGTTAAGTCAGAGAAAACTAATAAAAATCATTTGAGAATCACATTCTAACTGCTAAATTATTAACAAGAGGGCAGTATAGTCCTTAGCATTATCAATCATTTTCAAGCGTTTGTCGTCTAGAGATGCTCTCCTTTTCTGCCAGTCTTTCATTTAACTTTGTGCATTTTTCATCTCTTTGTGGGCAATTTCCAACAGGTCTTGACCTACAACCACTTCGTTCTTAAAATCTTTAGACTTAAGTGCATTAGCTAATCTCTGAAGAAGTATTGTTTTAAATTAGAACAGCAGTTAGTGAAAAACTAATTGTTTACTACAGTCTCTGTAACAGTTTCTACCAAGAGATGTTACTACCTTCAAACTCTTACAAAGAATGTGATAGCTGCTGCTAGTATAAAGTGCTACAAATCTAGTACCTGAGCATATGGATATGCTCAAGCAAGATGAGCACAACTCACCGCCCTCAAATTTTATCATTGGGAAGAAATTCTAACGAGAAAACTCACAGAAATAGCTAAAAT